CAAGTTAAAAAAGTTTGACACCTTTCAATAACTCGGGAGCCAGATTACGCCGGATGGTAGAACTAATACTGACATCTCCACACGGATCAGAAAAGCCAGAGGCCCTTTGCAGGCCTCTGTAATATATGGCATTTGAACCAGATTAGTCTACATACGAAGATTCAAATTTTCAATTCTAATGTGAAATCTGTGTTTTATGCAAGTGAGACATGGAAAGTCTCAATGGAAACCACACAAAAACTCCAGGTTTTTGTAAACGCCTTTGCCTGCGATACATCATTCATGCATGGTGGCCACAAAATTGGATCCCTAATATAGAGCTCCTCCAGCGGTGCCACAAAAGACCCGTTGCAACTAAGATCCGAGAATGTAAATGGAGATGTATTGGACATACCTTACGAAAGGGCGCAAATAAAATCTGTAGAGAGGCACTTGATTGGAATCCCCAAGGTGGCGGAGCCTATAGGACAATATCAAGGCTGTTGACATGAACCTGGCCACAGGTCAAATTAAAAGCTGGGAACGGTCAACAGTGGAAGTCTTCCATTTAAGCCCTATGCTCCTTAATAGAGCAGGATATATAAATAACACTACAGCCTGTAGGTAAAGGTTATGGTAGAGAAATACAGGGCCTGCTATAGCTAATAATGAAAGTGTTAGTTGAGTCTCTGTGTTTGGTTTTAAAACTGCAAAGAACAAACATGAATCCTTTAAACATCAAACATCTAAATTGGAATACTTGGAAGCATTCTGAAGCCACTGGACCGGCATGACAACCATGCAGGTAGAATTTGCAAAAGTAAATAATGTCTGTAATGTCTGCCCTATGGTCAACTATGCAAATGTTATCATTGACCACAGTATATCGCATACATATTACCAGTGGTGTATCCACTGCAAGGCAAACAAGGCGTTTGCCTTGGGTGGCACTTTCCAGGGTGGTGGCAAAAAATGCCGCCCCCAAAACAGTGAAGCGAGCTGGGTTGCACAGAATCAGGCAGCCTCGGTTGCCTAATCAAGGAAAGTAGACGGCTGTGAGTCCCTGCTTGAGGAGGAGGCAGGGACGGGGCCCCGTAGGACCAGTTGGACGGCGGAGGAGGCCTGGGACCCAGCAGCGCCAGTGCGGTGGTGGAGGAGGCAGGGGGCCAAGCAGTGCTGGTCCGGGGGTGAAGGAGGCCAGGGCCAGGAGTGGGCAGCTTGAGCTGAGAGCAGATGTTGTCAGGAGGCTGGGGAGCTGCAGGTAAGAGAATCACACTGTGCTGGTAAAGGGACCTTGCAGAGCCCAGCATAGATTCTCAGGTGGGCTATGTGGGGTCTCAGATGGGCTGTGCAGGATCTGTGGTGGGCTCTGCGGGGTTTATAGTGGGCACTACAGGGTCTCAGGTGGGCTGTGCAGGATCTGTGGTGGGCTCTGCAGGGTCTATGGTGGGCATTGCAGGGTCTATGGTGGGCTTTGCAGGATCTATGGTGGGCTTTGCAGGATCTATGGTGGGCTCTGCAGGGTCTAAGGCGGGCTGTGTAGGATCTGTGGTAGGCTCTGCAGGGTCTTTGGCGGGCTCTGCAGGGTCTCAGGGGGGCTTGCAGGATCTGCGGTGGGCTCTGCGGGGTCTATGATGGACTCTACAAGGTCTATGGTGGGCTCTACGGAGTCTATGGTGGGCACTGCAGGGTCTCAGGTGGGCTGTGCATGATCTGTGGTGGGCTCTGCAGGGTCTATGGTGGGCTGTGCAGGATCTACGGTGGGCTCTGCAGGGTCTAAGGCGGGCTGTGCAGGATCTGTGGTAGGCTCTGCGGGGTCTATGGCCGGCTCTCCAGGGTCTCAGGGGGGCTGTGCAGGATTTGTGGTGGGCTCTGCGGGGTCTATGATGAACTCTACAGGTTCTATGGTGGGCTCTACGGGGTCTATAGTGGGCACTGCAGGGTCTCAGGTGGGCTGTGCATGATCTGTGGTGGGCTCTGCAGGGTCTATGGTGGGCTGTGCAGGATCTACGGTGGGCTCTGCAGGGTCTAAGGCGGGCTGTGCAGGATCTGTGGTAGGCTCTGCGGGGTCTATGGCCGGCTCTCCAGGGTCTCAGGGGGGCTGTGCAGGATTTGTGGTGGGCTCTGCGGGGTCTATGATGAACTCTACAGGTTCTATGGTGGGCTCTACGGGGTCTATAGTGGGCACTGCAGGGTCTCAGGTGGGCTGTGCATGATCTGTGGTGGGCTCTGCAGGGTCTATGGTGGGCTGTGCAGGATCTACGGTGGGCTCTGCAGGGTCTAAGACGGGCTGTGCAGGATCTGTGGTAGGCTCTGCGGGGTCTATGGCGGGTTCTCCAGGGTCTCAGGGGGGCTGTGCAGGATTTGTGGTGGGCTCTGCGGGATCTATGATGGGCTCTGCAAGGTCTCAGGTGGGCTTTGCAGTCTGAAAACCCGCTAGAGCCCACCAAAGATCCTCCACCTGGGACCCTGAAGAACAAGCTATAGATCCTGCGAAACCCACCTGAGACCCCACACAGCCCACCACAGATCATGCACAGCTCAAATTTAGATTGAGGAGTGCCTGAGTTTCGTCTTGCCTAGGGCAGACCAAAATACACCACTGCATATTACACACATGCATGTTGTGTTTTACTGTCAATGAATATAACAGAACACATCAACCTGTACCTACATTTGGCCTTCATTCAGGGTGTTTCACAATTGTCTAATCTGGCTTCTTCATAATGTACTTTGACATTTTTGTTTAGAAACCAAGGGCAATGATATGTGTGTTATGTGACTCATTTTGAGGATCACATTGGGCTGTTTTCCAGTTTTCAGTATCTTATCAGTTATTAAAGTGTATTTCCACCTTTGCAGCAAATTTGATAACCTCCCACTATATGTTTATGTGTTCCTATTCACCCCGGCCTTGAAATCTTTTACCCTTTGATAGGACAGACAAGGACAGATAGGACATCTGCAAAAACAAAATCTTTTAGCATAGTACAGACATGCTTTTTATGGTAAACATTATTCCCCAGTCCACTCCTATAGAAATGGAGAGCTAAGTAAGATTTTGTAGGATTTTTCTGCAAATAAAAAGGTAAACAGCTATTTTAAAATATTGTTTAATGTTATGCTATGTGAAATATGAAATATAAACTAGGTGTTATCCCTATTTGGCTCCAAAGGGGAAACACACATCAAGTGCAGACACTCACTCTTGCACAACCCGATCCATAACAACCATTACATTACACTTGTGTACCTTCCTTGCCTTTATTCCAGCAGCAAGGACCCTTAACCATACCTCCCGGACAGTCCCTTATTTGGAACGAAATACCTCTGACACTCCTCAGTTGTACTTCTTTTTGGTCTGATGTACAGACATCTATGAAAATGTATTATTTAACTGCCAAAAGTGTTTGGATTGACTAAAACCTTTATTTTATCTCTTAATGATTTTTTTTTATGGTAAAGCCAGTATAAAGGAAAAGTAACATTGAAAAAAAGACAATTCTGATTTTTACCAAACAATTTTGGTGGGGATGTCCAGATACCAGTTCAGATACCAATGTCGATATTTGGCATTTTCATGAGAACTACCAGGGTTGCACCGGTTGCAGCTGGGACTTGGCTCTTGCACTCCACCACTGTCCTGAAATCATTAGTCTGTATTGTTTTAGAAAAACTGTCACATGACAATAAACAAAAATGTATGAGTACTTGTATCTGTGAGTACTTGGACATGTATCAATACTTGTACTTGAAAAAATTGTATCTGGGCATCCCTTACATATATTTAAAAAAATCTTACATTAAAACAGGAAGGCATAAATCCCAGGAGCCCTGTATGCTCCATAAAAATGACAGCTGCCTCCTAACTTTTGAATTTTTATCTAGTCTAATCTTGGAGCTGGAAAAGTATCTGTACATGTACTTTTACCGAGTACAGTACTTGGCATCTGAACATCCCTCATTTTTGGGATATAAATTCTTAATGGTCCTGTGATACAATATAATTTCAATACAAATTAGTAAATTAAAACGTGAGACTGTAGTCCATCACGGGAGTGAGCTTGGAGGTGTGACTACTTTACAACACACAAACACACACAGGGACCATGGGGAACAAAAGTATCCACCCTCCAGAAGGAAGGACAGTGTCAGCACAAATTCAGAATTGATTTGAGAGTCTACAGCTGAGTGATGCACAAATAAGCTAAATTTATGTTAATAGTTAAGGCAGTTGAATGCATTTTAAGATTTAACTATTGAGTTCAGTTTCACTTTAAGATAACATAGTTATACATGTTTTTTTTTCGGGTAGGGGGGACAGACAAAATAGGCTTTCTTTTAGTGATATTGTTTTGAAAAAAAATATTGGATTTTCTATGCAATCTATAGACAAAAAGGCATTAATCTTTAAAGGCCAGTATAAAGATGCAACTTACAATTATGGAGAACGTGTGACAGTTTTACATGTCTCACACAATTTACAACTGGGCAAGTGAAAACTCTGTAACCACTGTCACAGTGGTTTGGGAAAAAATAGCTAGTCCTGTGTAACTACTGAGATTGAGAAAGGATGGTTGCAAAAGACTTTGGGGGGCTTTCAGAGTTAGACTAGGAGGCTAGGGAATGTTGGAAAGGCATGCAAATAGAGGTGCCTTTCACCGCACTGCGCTGCTACTTCCCTTAGGTGCAACATAGTAGATTTCTGAGGTTTCCCCTGACTGTCTATACTTCTGCAATGTCAGCTGTTCTTATGTTGCTTAACAGAATAGGCCCTAATCTCTTTCAGTAATACTATCTTCTGCATTCTGCACTAAACACAATTCTCCACTTTGTTTACTCTTTTACTTTAGTGGTAAAAAGTTCTACAGTTCTATGCTAGTGAGCTTGCTGTACCTCTTCAGTCCTATATGTGCTCCATCCATGTCTTTCTACCATCTTGTTGTTGCACTCCATTCATACCTTTTGCCCGTTGACCTCTCCATTGTCCTGCTGTCTACCCTATCTCCTTTACTTGACAGTTTCCAGCACTGCTGTTCACACTGAAGTGCCAATGTGGATACAACCTCATGTATGAAAGTGCCCATTTTTCCATCCTGGACATTCACCACTCATGGCTGCTCCTGTCACAAACACACTTCAGTTCTAGTACTTTAGCCCTGGCTACAAAGTTGGAAGGGGCTCTTCAGAAGGTATGGAATGTCACCTGATGTGAGGAATTTCCGTGAGCACTAAGCTCTACCCCCTTTCCCTAAATGTGCCATTGCTGGTGCAAACAGCTGCACAGCCAGTGTTGTTCCTTCCATAGGAGAAAGAAAGGACAGTTCCTACATGACCCACAAATTTCTTTATTGCACAGTGTTCTTTCTGCCAACACATCATGTAGCAGTGGGGATATGTTGCACTGCTATGCATCTCCTGTCTAATTTCTACAAGTGAATATAAAACTTAAATATTTTTCTCCACGTATCTCCGTACTCTATTATCAGTTCACTCTCTTTCATGCTTTCCCCTAGCAACACCATGAGCTTCTGTCCTGCCTTCCTTCAGGAACAGTTCCTGCTGAGCTCCTCCACACCAATTGCTATTTTTGACATCCATACATCTTCCTTCTCTTCTCTCGCTAATATCAGCTTCAGCATTGTCCAACTCCCCATCCCCCAGTCATAATTATCCTGTGCTCTGTCTACTTCCTTAGTCATGGTCACTCCTGCTTTGCCGCCCTCTACATTCAACACAAACTGATTTAATTCTGCCATTCTCCACTTTTCCTCCTGCTATAATAATTTTCCTACCCATACACAGTACTGCCACAATCATCTTCTACAGTAAATGGGATTGTGAAAGTAAAAGAGGGTCTCTGATTTTATTAGTAATTGGTAATATTAGTAATATTAGTCTTATGATTTTGAATTTGTTTGTCCATTATAAGACTGGTGCACAAAGCCATCATCTTCAGACACATGACCATCAACTCCTATTAAAAAAAATAGAAACAGGCTTAATTTTCTACAACCTCTGCCACCACCTGGAACTTTTGCATTAGCAAATATTTTAATGCTCAACTATCTTTCCACCCATAAAAAAACATATTTACCTTGGCCTAGGGCAACTCAATGCAATTTATAGTTTTTACAAAGAAAACATCATCACAAACACATACACACAAAAAAGCACTTAAATCACATGACTAATTTTGCTGATTTTTCAATTGGAGAAGAAAACCTTTTCCTTGGTAGATCAGGTTTTGAGTATGAAAATCACAGATTCCCAGACAGTTTTTGCTCATGTTATCATGGTTAAAATGTGTCAAATTGGTTTGTAATAAAAGAAAATAACAGGGTTTTATCTTCTGCAATAGCTAAAGGGGCACCATAGGACAGAATATATAAATGAAACACTGATTACAGGTCTTTTTTTTATGATTGTAAGTTGTTACTCACTTATTTCTCCATGACGGAGATAATGCATTAACTATTCTATTGTTGATGCCATATTGTGCAATGTGAAAGGGGTGATTACCAGTTTGCAATCATAAGTAACATGTTTGCAGACTGTTGTTTATTTATTGTGAAATGTTCTCCTTTTCTTATTTTTTCACAAAATGCCAACATAGTAACTGCAATACAAAAGATAGACATAGCTTATGACTTACAGTGCATTTTTGAAACACAGTTATATGTAAAGTGTATGTATAGCCCAAAACATTTTATTTAGTTTTGGATAGTAGGAAATTATTAGAACCCCAGCCAGATTTTTATTGGTGTCCACTGGAGAGATTTGGTAAAGCAAAACAAATGACAAACGCACTCAACAATTTGTTACCAGTTATACACATCCTTTGCAGAAGACGTGTATCCAAACCTCTGTCATTGTCCTTAGTGGTGAGACAAGTTGTTTTACATGCTAGTTTGTGAGTGTGCCATGATGCCTTTCTACTGTACCACTGTTCAAAGCCCATTTCGTGTGCACCTTACTGTATAACTGGTAACAAATTGTTGAGTGCGTTTGTCATTTGTTTTGCTTTACCGATTTGGTGCAGCGACGCATGGGGTTTCTCAGCTGCCAATGGGATGTGCGGGATCCCTTATGTGTCTCTGTACCTTTAAGGAGGTGGGGCGTCCTCCTGACAGGCCTGCACCCAATTTGATATCTTCTGCCCCCATGTGCTCCAAGATGGAGACTCTCATAGTTTAGAGTTAGGACCGCACTATAAGAGGTGCCTTGGCGCGGCAGTGCGGCTTACACATCCTTTGCAGAAGACGTGTATCCAAACCTCTGTCATTGTCCTTAGTGGTGAGACAAGTTGTTTTACATGCTGGTTTGTGAGTGTGCCATGATGCCTTTCTACTGTACCACAGGAGAGATTTACCCCCTCTATTTGTCCTGATGACCACTGCCACCAAGACAGAAAGTGAAAGGATATCCACAATTTTAGTTGCCACCAGTGCAGGATGTCACGGTAAATTGTCCAGTGAGGAGACAACTGTGGGTTTTCCCCTCACTTTGGAGAGATTTTCTCTCACTCCCTGCTGTATCAAAGTGAGAAGAATTGAAGAGAAATATTTCCCAATAGGAAATCATTAAATAAATATATAAATAAATATTTAAACAATAAAGGAAAATGTTGTGCCAATTTTTTTTAAATTAGACGTATCGCCAGAGCTTGAAAGTCATTGTTGAATGCCTCAGGGGGCCAAGTGCATGCGGCACTTGATCCTGCTCTGACCCGTGCTGTGGTTGGGCAATTAAAGAAAATTGCCTCTATGGGAAAGCTATAGCACAGCACAGTAGTTACTGCCCCGCCCCATCTTCATTCTAAATAGGCAAGATATTGTGTCTGTATTGTGTGCACCCCTCTCCTCTGCCAGCCATTTGCCAGACATGATTCAGGCAGCTCTCACCTCGATGTAGTTGCTCTTGCAATAGCTGGCCACTTGGGTGAGGTTTTGCTAAACTCCTCTAACATCTGCAGCCCTATGGATCTCTTTTATGTACAATGGAGGACAGATAACTAAGCCTAGATCCATCTACCTATTATTCTGGGGAGAGAGTCTAGAGCATTAACTGGAGGTTTGTGTTGTGAATGATAAGGTTAGTCTCCAGTGTGCACCATCATTTGCAACACCACAAGACACCGGCTAGTACTTTAGTCTCTCTCCCCAGAATAGCAGGTAGATGGATCTCAGTTGTCTGTCCTCCGGTGTACAAGAAGACATGCAAAGGGTGCGTATACATTTGTTACACATTTGCCCACACATTTGTTAGTCCACCTGGTCCGAAGTCCAAAGAGTGCTCACCTGACTGGCATGTGCGGTAATAGCATATCCCTTGTGATAATTCCTCCTATATCCACTTTACTTGGTAGTAACAGCTTTATGAGAAGGTGATACCAATGCTGTCTGTCACACCCCTTCTCCTATATGTGCCCTACCACTTACTCCTAAATACATCTCCCGAGCAGCTTGGTCAAACAGTGGTTCGGCAGGTGGGACACACTGTCAACCATGCTAGCTCAGCAACCACAGCACGGTTTAGACAAGGACTAAGTGCTACATAGTATCGCAGAAACATTTGCAATGAGACAGGGGCACTTTAATACACACAGAAATTACACATGCAGGATTCATTAGAGTGATCACTAGCAAAAGTTGCAGATGCTAATACAGAATGCCACTTGCAGGTCTGGAAACAAAAATAGGCAATTAAAGCAAACAGTACAGCAGCAGACGATGCTACACTGTTAATAGTGGTTAAACTGTCTACTTAACAGGAACCACACTACCCTCTTCCACCTTTCTCCATAGTCTATAACACATGTAATGACAGCCTGTGCTTGAGCGCTGAGGTTTTTTAAATGTCTTTGCACTTAATCTCTGCTTGTCTGCTATGAGTGGCTGGAATACTCTACTGTATCTGGGGGGGGGATCTGCTAGCAATGATGACGAAACCTGTTGCTGTCACATCAAATGCTTCATAGCAAATGGTATGTCCACAGCAAAGCAGCCTGATTCACCCTGCACTACATTTTTCATGGATCTTAATATCTCAATTTTGAGGAAAATTCTATATAATCTATGTGGCTGTGAACACACATTATTTAAGTATATATGTAAAGGGGATAGGCTCAACTGGTATTGGCAGTGGTAAATCATGCACAAGACAAAGACACTCAGGAGCAGTCCAAGCAGGTATATCCTGCACTTTTGTTCAGCAAGGCGGCAAACAAACACAGTTTCATGACAGGATACAGCTTTAGGGCATCCCCCAAGCATGTTATTTAAAGGATGTGTGGGGTTTTTTCAATGTTTCCCTCAAAGCTGCACAAAAAGACCCTCTTCCTGCTGTACTGAATTTATTTACTGGTACATTTCCCTATGGCACTGCCCAACTTCCCATACCCTTTTCTCTATAGTAATTTGCCCATTAGCCCCATAAATGGGCAGAATCTACTATCATGATTTACCCCATAGACTTCAGTGGGTTTTGCCACTAAGTTCAGGTTTGCCACTTTATATACAGGATTCGCCAAACTCCTTGCAAAATGAACCCTGACAGATTCAACTATCTCCATTTATTAGGAACATTACACTAAAACTAGGTAGGGGCCCTCACCTTGCTCTCTAACCAGATTCAATTCTTGAGGCATTCCACCTTCCTTTGAGATTTTGGTCCATGCTGACATGATTACACCATGCAGTTTCTGCAGATTTGTCAGCTGCGCATTCTTGTTGATAATCTCCAGTTACTCCACATTTCTGTTCGGTTAAATTCAGATCCAGTAACAAGCCTCCCAACGGCATGCTTCAGCAGAAATTGAGATTTATCAGACCAGGCTACACATTTTCAGTCTTCCACTGTCCAGTTTTGGTGAGCCAGTGCTCACTGCAGTCTCAGCTTTTTCTTCTTGGCTGAAAGTGGAACCTGATGTGGTCTTCTGCTGTAGTCCACCTTTGTGAATTCTGACATGTTTTTCTGCTCACCACAGTTGAAAAGAGTGATTATATGAATTACCATAGTATTTCTGTCAGCCTAAACGAGTCTGACTATTCTCCTGTGTCCTTCCAGATCACCCAGGCATGGATGTTTGTTGTTTTTCACGCCATTCTGAGCAAACTACAGGTGAAAATCCCAGGAGGTCAGCAGTTACAGAAATACCAAAAATCATGCCTGAGATCTGAGAAAAATCTGAGATCAAATTTTTCCTTATTCTGTTGTTTGATGTGAGCATTAACTGAAACTCTTGACCTATATCTGCATGGATTCACCATTGTGCTGCTGCCACATGATTGGCTGATTAGGTACTGTAGTTGCATGGCTAATCAGGTGTGCTGGTGTTCCTAATAAATTGCATGATGAGTTTACAATAAAATAGGGAAGCAAAATGCAAGAAAGCAAGAAAATCTCCCCTGCACTTAGCATCACCAAATGATGTCAACATTTTAAAACATTTTCAACGGACAATTTGCTTTTAATTTTGTAATTGGTGAAGGATAACGCACTCTGTCTATTGAAATGGGCTACCAAATGAGCTCCCTTTAAGTCTTTTTTCCATTGCCTTATTTAGCATTTTCATAAGGAGTACTCAAAGGTTTTTTTTTACAAAGCAGCCGAAGGCAGCCGAGTGAATAACTCAGCCGGCTGATTTCAGCCGTACATCGGCTGCCTTCGGTTGCACTTTGCTGAACATCTGGACAACATCTGGATCGGCTGAGCCGAAACTCCAGCAGCTCACTCGCTGCCGTTTGCCCCTATTCACATAAGCAGCTTTGTGAACTTTGTGAATTACTGTCCTGACTCCTGATTCTTGTGTGATAATAGAACGGATGTATAAATCCTTTTGCCTGATTATTGCAAACAGGCTGAATGTAAATAAGACAGCATTTATGCTGGCAAGGCAGTGATGAAAGCCCTCAAAGCATAGGGAAAAAGGTCAGAGGTAAGAGGGTATTAGGGCTAAGTCTGTGTGAGACAGAGCTGTGTGGTCACCGCTGATATACAGGGACACACAGGCTCTGTGCAGCGGTGTATAGAGAGACTGACCCGAGTTGCTGAACCGGAGAGGATCCGATCTAGTGCCTGAAGTGAAGTCCGGTGACGCAGTTATCGCCAGGAAGTTGAGGCCTAGTTGCACGGCCGAACCAGCCGCCGAGGTGATCCAGCCAGCCCAGCTGAGAGAGAGAGAAGCCAGATGGAGCCAACCGAGATGACTACAAGCATCTTTGATGAGTGAAGACTTCCTATCAAGGAACCAGACGACTTCCCCTACTGCGCCGGAGCTGAAGAGGAATAGAGGACGTCCGGCATCTGCTATCAGTCTTCATCTTCTCCAACTGACCTGAGGATTGGTTAGAGGCCTTTGGCCACGTTGACAACCTGTTTGCTGTTCATACCTGCACTACAGTAAGGGCCTCAACGCCGGCTAGCTTAGGACACCACTACTGGCCAGTAGTCTAGGAAGGGTTGTGCATTGCCAAAGGGAAACCTTAAAGGGACATACACCCCATTCAAGGGAGGACATTTAAAGACAATTGGCCTTGCATACATCAGTGCTGACAGCAGATAGCTGCAACTAGTGAGTTGCAGAGTGCCTTAGCCTGCTGCTTAATACCCTTTTGTGTGACTGTTGGGTATACTATTGCCATAGTTGCTTCATATATTGTGTTCTTATTAAATCTGCTATAAAACTGTTCAAAGGTGTGTTAGTGTGCTGTGGATCCACGATTTGGGCGGTACATTGGTGTAGGGAGATAGAAACACCTGATCATTCAGCAGCTCCTTCGGGGGTGAGCGCTACATATCTTTCAAAGAAGATAGAAGGAATATTTAATTTTTCATATTGGTGATGTTCGTTTTTCTCCTGCCTAAAATGTGTTCCTAATCTCATGCAAGTAAGTTTATATTTATCCTTGGTCATATTGTGGCTTGACTCATAACTTGACCCATAATGACATTTACTACTACCTAAATATTTTGTTATATTCGAAGGCCATTCTAATCATACCATTTTAGCCCTGCTAATGAGAAAATTGTAGTTGTGTAAATGTAATTTTGCTATCCTTTCCTGACTATGCCATACCACACTCAGAGTCCAATTGCATGATACATCAGAGGCCAGCAGTACTTGGGCCATTTTTAATGCATTGCACTCTGTTCCCACAGTGTCTGATCTACATACAGTATGGGGACTCCCAGTGGTGGACCTAATAACCAAAGAGCCCTGGTGCAAGATGTTATCTTGGGCCCCCCTCCCAAGATGGGGGGGCGCGGGAGCGGTTCACACTGGCCCCCGCTCCCTCCCCCCCCAGCGGTCTCTAATGTTGCAGTAGCGTGCTGGACTTACCTTAGACCCTGCAGAGCACACCATAGATCCTGCATAGCCCACCTGAGACTCTCTATGGTGGGCTCTGCAGGGTCCCAGGTGGGCTGGTCTGGTCTTCGGGATGCCGCCCCGGTACAGTTGATACCCATGTAAGAGGCCCCCCCAGACCCCTCACATGGGTACCGGCCATACCCCCCTGATGGCAGTGTTCTATCAAAGGTTGTGACTACGTTAGAATGTGTGACCGGTGACGTGGTCACACGTTGTAACGTAATCCCACCAAGTTTTTCAGCGGTGGAATGTGTGACCACCAATAGGTGAAGCATTCCAGCGCTTTCCCAGCTGTTCCAGGGCAAATCGGCATCGGACCGTGCACTGCCCCATATTGCAGGACCGGACCCCACTGAGGCTGTGGGGGTGCCCAGGACCGGACCCCACTGGGCCCCCCCCACAGCCTTAGGCCCCGGTGCCCCAGCACCATCTGCACCGACAGTAGTTCCGCCACTGGGGACTCCAGTGTAACAACAAATTATCTTTGATACCTTTAAAGCCTGTGGTTTCTTTGTAAATGTTGTAGTTTCCTTGAGGGTGTGGTATCATCCAAAGAGTCTTTTGAATTGATTCAAGAATATATTTTTTTTATTAATCTTACCATTTTGCACTTTTATTATAATTGTATTCTTCAGTAAAAAATTATTTTTTTTTTTTTTACAGTCAGCTATAGTACTGCATTGCACATTGTTTGTCCTGAAAAACTGGGGTCATGTGAAAGCTCACTAAGCTATCTGCAAGTATGTGATAAATGACAAATCTTTGTGTTTTCCAAATGACCATAGGTTGACAGTGTGAAAGTCCATTCACACAAAATATTAGTCATAATGCACACATCTTCTCTGGTCAAGTTGGGAGGGAGGAATTTGGAAGGGATAGCGGAATAGGGCACAACCCTCTGTGGCATCACGAGCCAGGCATGCTGATTCTCAGTTTATTGTGATTAGACTAGAGACACAGACCTGGTTGACTGTCAAAAGTTTTGCAACTTCTGGACTGTGACTTGGCAGTAGAAATCACTTCTCATTCCACCGAGCAGAGAAAATATCAATGGAAAGCCTTCTCACTCTTTACCAACTCAAGATGGGAATTTTTTTGGGGGGGATATTTCATGTACACATGAGTCTTTTCACAGATTTCATTTAAACATCTTTTAAAGGATTATTCCAGAGAAAACTGATATTTTAGATCATTATAGATGCTGGAATGTTAAACAACTAAATGGATTTTTATGTCTCTCTGGGCTCCAATGATATCTAGAATTTACAAGTCTGTTCACCTGCTGCGGAAATGACAGTATATGTGGATAATCTTTTCATTGTTTAATTTATTTTATATTATTTGGAATGCGGAGGAGTGGAAACACCCTTAGGTGGGTGGAACACTCACATCCGCAAGGTGGATGGGTTCCAAAATCATGAAATCAGGGAGGTCTCATGACTGAAATCTCTAGGAGATATAAGACACCAGCAGGTACCTCAACAAACCAGAGTGAACATACAACTGAAGTATCACTTTTGGAGAGACTAGAGTGAAGATCACTAAAGGTGTCTATCTATATGCGACAGCTTCAAGATCAGCATGAAAGAAACTAGACCAAGCCATGGGCTTTTGTGGCCTTGTCTACTCCTCTTCTTCTTGTCGATCAGCCAGACCATTACAGCTCGGGAAAAAAGGAAAGGTAAGGAGGATTTTTATACATATGCTATCTAATCATAATTTTTAGTTGTGTTCTAAATAATAAGAGTAATGTCTATAGTGCTACTTATTAGACATGTAACCCCACAAACAATTAGTTTTGTTTAATTTCAGATTAATTTGGATTTTTATCTCTTTTGGATTTTGGATCCGAAATCCGATTTGGTTTGTTATTCGGATTTCAGATCTATCTATAGTTTAGTTTTGTAACGATCTGAATTGTTGTTTCAAAACAAAGTCATTGCCTGTAATTCAACCCCCAACAGCCCAAAAAAAACAGTTTGGCCAGAAAACACTCACATGTCCAATTTAGTTTTGTTTTGAACGAAATTAGTACGGATCCTAATTTCATTAAACAGACATTCGGATTTGTTCGCATTCGGACGCGTTCAAGTTCGGAAATTCAGACACGTCCGAATGTCCAAATTTAACGAAATTCATACGAATATCAATTCAGAACGTAACTAAATTTACATGTCTACTACTTATATGATCAGGTTTCTTCATCTGCACTAAGTATACATGTCACAGGCAAATCTAGGCTAGGGCAAGAGGTGAAGCAGTCACTGTCTCATTTTTTAATACAAACATATCAAACATTTAAAGCAAACTGTCGGAAATGCTATATACATTTATTCAAAAGTAGCTAAATACTTAAATTATATATAAAGGATCAAATGCAATTCATCCACAACATAATAAATTGTAAGGATTAGCTCCAAAAGGAAAGTTTTTCGGGGGGGAAATCCACTCGCTTAATGTATATTATGGCTACAAGACTACTTTTATTCAATGAATTTAACAGGGAAGGAAAACAGAAGGCCTTCCCATCTAGGAGATGTATCGGCACATCATCTCAGCACATAAAAGGGGTGGAGACAAAGACAGAGACAGATAAAGCAAATAATATTTCAAGGCATATCACAATGTATGTGTAACATGACAGGAAATTACATCTCCTGTTTTTTCAGTGACATTGTTTCTGTTTCAATATATAAAAACCTTAAAGTAAAAGTAAAGTAAAATATTGTGCATTTTAGTTGGCCAGACATTATGTGCACTGTCCCATTACTCCACTGTGGCCCATATGACCACCTGGCTGTAAATGGACCCCGCAAACTGTATTGCATATAGCAGATGGAGTCTCATTACTGTGTTGCTAACAAAGCATTGTAATAACAAGTACTGCATGGAGGAATCTGGCACTACTGTGCTCAGGAGAAATATTTGCGTTCCCAGTATGTGCTCTGAGATTGTGTGCACTCATAGGAGACAGGGAAGAGAAAGAAAGAGAGCTGACACCACAATGTACCTCCAGATTAGTTCTGGGTGCAGTGTTTCCAGCCAGCTACAGATCAGAAGATGGTTTGATCAGGAAACAAATTAATGTTTCCGGTGGTGGACAGATTTTAATTTCCCAGCAGCTCTCAAGGGGGTTTGGTAAGATAGGGAAAAAAACCTGCCGCTATGCCTTTATTCTCTGGTAACATCAGCAGAACTGGTAGTAACTGTCTATACTGGTCTCCTCACTCTCTTTATTTACAAAATTGCTTGGTGGGGGCTATATAAACTGTCCTTCCTGACACATATATACCCCCTCCTTTTCTTAAAGCTAATGTTTAATCTGGTCATATTTTGACTTCCCTGGTTCCTTCTTTTCCACCACATCATCATACTAATGACATTTTAAAATAAAACCTTTCTCTTTTTATTACCTAACCTTTTGTCATCACTGGGTCTTTGTGCTTCTCTATACAAAATAGGCAGATCATGGCCTGTTGAAGGTTCTGTACATAGCTTCTCAAAAGCATCACAACACTTCTCTCAAGAGAAGCCTAATGCAAATAGTGGGAGGAGTACTGAAAATATCAAAATGTCTTCATAGGTGGGTATAAGTCTGGAGGAGTTGTAGATCCTAGGCAGGCTGTATTTGCATGCAGGCTGCCCAACGTAATGCAAGAACTAAAAAATCCAATAAATTAAAGAAGTGGGCCCAAGACAAAGTCAGTCTATGGAGGAAAAGCCTAGATGATGCTTGGTGTCCTCCAGCCTGGAAATTAGGCAGGCTTGATCAGACATGCTGCAGCTTCTATTGCACACTGTGAGAAGTTTGTAGTGTGCAGATAAATCAGAGTAAGCAATTTCAGTACAGAAGAGGAGCCTGTGCAACTGGACAAGGCTGAAGGTAGTTTAGTGTTAATGCTTAGCATTTATCTACTTTCCTTCTCAGCTGTGCACTTCCTGATGAACTTATTTTTACCCACTTTTACTATGTCTACTTTCGTTCACACTGTGATTATTTTTCTGTTTTAGGTATGCCCATTGTCCTCTCCCATCTCCACTTCCATCCTGGACAAATTAATTGCATAACAAAGTAGCACCAAAACTATCAGGGTTATTCACTAAGCTGCCGGAGGCAGCCGAGTGAATAACAGAGCCGTAGTGAAGTGAGCCGAACAACGTTCGGCTATTCACTACGCCTCAGTATGGCTGATTTCAGCCGTACATCGGCTGCCTTCCGCTGCACTCCGGTCAGCTGAACATGCTCTGCATGTTCGGCTCAGCCGAAGTGCAGAAGGATTTAGACTCAGCTGATCCAACATCTGGATCGGCTGAGCCGAAGCTCCGGCAGCTCACTCACTGCCGTTCGCCCCTATTCACATAGGGGCCGAACGGCAGTGAGTGAATAGCCGAATGCCGCCGAGCTGCTTTCAGCTTGGCTATTAAGTTGTTATTGTTTGATGACAGATCAGCGTCCCCTGGTCATTTGGGGGACGCTGATCTGTCATTACAACTGGGCGGAGCCAGCCGTGAGATCACGGCTGGCTCTGCCCAGCTGTCATTTGTGAGGCTGGCCGTTCGCCCCGCTTTGGCTGTTACTTCGGCATGGTCGAGCCGAAGCATATGCCTTCGGCTTAGCTGAGCCGCTTGGCCGCCTTCGAGAGCTGTACGGGCTATAGGATATAGCCCGTACAGCAGCTCTTCAGTTTGACCGAACCGTAGGGCTCCCGCAACCCAAGCGAGCCGAAGGATAAGCTGAAGCTTGGGCTGATCCTTCGGCTAGCTTTGTGAATAACTCTGAAAATGTGTGAAGGGTAGTAAAACATGGAATCCCCATAAACCAATATCTAGGTACACAGGATTCTGGTTTCACATTTTACACCACTTTATGTAATAACATTGAAAATGCAGTGCATAAATTAGATTGTTTTATTACAATTCATAGGGACCTAAGTTTTTTTTTTTACTCTCTTTCAGTTTGTATGGGTACTACTAACATCATGTCACTTATGGGGACAGTGGATGAACATTACCAGATGATAAAGAAGATGTTTAGTAACTGTGAAATTGTTCTTGGAAATCTGGAAATTACTTTCCTAGAACACTACCATGATGTATCATTTCTTGAGGTATAAATATATTTGGTTTTAGTGTTTACTTATCAGAAAGAAAAGGAAAGGCTCCACTGGTCCCTCACTGCTGGCTCTACTGAGTAACGTTGGTGCCAAAACTTTGCATGCACCAGCAGGTGATCAGAATTGGCATTTGAGCAGGATGTGAGCAACAGTGACAGAGGCAGCAATAAAGTAGTTTGTTTCAGTATGGAACAGTTACAAATTCTCTCAGTGTATTATTGCTACCTCATTCCCCCTTGGATTGATTCCTCTAATACCCTGTTTGTACCTTGTGTGGTCCCCAGGGCAGAAAATTATGTGAATCTAGCAAATAGGGACACAGACCACTATATAACTAATTCCTACGTTGGTTTTCTGCAAACTTTTGAAATGTTCGGTTGGTTTGCTTATCTGTACTCCAAACAAAGCATGACCCAGCAGAAGAGGACTCTGCCCAACAAGCTGACACACAATAATATCTTATGTTTGTGAAGTTATTTGTATTATTCTTGCTTTGTTTTATCACATATTTAATTGATACGCTCAGAATCATTTGTATTTAATTTCAGGACATAAAAGAAGTGCGAGGTTACGTTCTGATCGGTTTAAACAATATAAAGACCATTCCGTTGACCAACCTTCAGGTGATCCGAGGAAACATTTTGTTAAGAAATGCCTCCCTCTCTATTTTATCTAATTTGAATAGAGAGAACAGAACACAAGGGTTAGAGGAGCTACCAATGAGACAACTAAAAGGTATAATGTCAAGCTTCCGTGTAATGGCCAGATTTATATACACTATTAGATTAGATATAAACTCATATTTTATTCACAATAGAAAATAGAAAACATATCAAATGTTTAAACTGAGAAAATGTACCATTTAAAAAAAAGGTAATGTTGAAATTGATACAGCAACATGTCTCAAAAAAGTTAGGACAGGGCAACAAAAAGCTGGCAAAGTAAGTGGTACTAAAAAGGACATTTTGCAACTAATTAGGTTAATTGGCAACAGGTCAGTAACAAGATTCAGTATAAAAATAGCACCTTTGGTTTTTCCTCCATTCATACAAAGCAAATGTACATGCAATTTCGCTGAGTAAATTGCTCTGTGAACTGTTTACAAATTCACTCCTATAAGAGGTTTAATTGAGTAACTCAATCGACACAAATGCAATGGTTTTAACTTGCTGCCATGAACTGCCTATTGGTGGCATTGTCCTTCTATAAAATCCCTATAATCTTGTGTCGAAGCTAACTTTCCATATTTGCTGTGCTGACTTGCTTGATCACATTCTTATGAGACCACGTGACCAATAATTGATCATACAGGAAAATTAGTCATTGGAAGTAACATAGGTTATCAATACTACAGCAACATTATAGACAATTTACTCATGCTGATATTGTAGAATAACATATCATTTATTTTGAGGGTAGGTTCACTTATATACTGTATATGACTGGGATGCCAGGGAGTTTTCTTTTGTGCATAAAACAAGCCCATATCTTTTTTTGAATTTATCTTCATTATTTTTGTTCACAGAAATTATAACGGGTGGCGTTAGAATAATCTCAAATCCTAAACTCTGCCTTCGGAATACAATCAAGTGGGAGGACATTGCTAAACAGGACAGTATTATAATTTCTGCAGAAAACGAGTCTCTTTCACACTGTATGTATCAAAGAACTGCTTGCTGGCTCTAGTCTAAAATGAAAGACATTTTTTGCTGTTTTAAGAGTTAATTCAATTGAAATATTTTTTTTTCTATAATATGCATCTGAACAAAGGATACATTTTTTACTTAAAAAGAACCTGATCACAGATCATTTTATTTATTTTATTAATCTAAACAGTGCTAATTATTCAGTTTAGAACCACTCACATTAAAACTCCCTACTACAGTCATACAGACAGACAAATGCACTCTAAGCAATATTTCTTTGTGTAAACCTTTTCGTGACACTAAAATTAGGAGTTAAATTTTAAAAATGCATTCAAGTACCCTAACTATTAACAAAAATGTAGCTTATTTGTGTATCACTCAGCTGTAGATCCTCAAATCATCTCTGAATTGGTGCTGACACAGTTCTTCCTTCTGGAGGGTGGCTACTTTTGTTCCACATGGTCCCTGTGATGTAAAGTAGCCACCACCCCAAGCTCACTCCCGTGATGGACTCCAATCTCACATTTGGTTTACTAATTTGTATTGAAATTGTAGTCCATCAGAGGAGTGAGTTTGGAGCGGTGGCTACTTTACAACACACACAGGGACCATGGGGAACACAAGTAGCCACCCTCCAGAAGGAAGGACAGTGTCAGCATGAATTCAGAATTGATTGAGGATCTACAGCTGAGTGATGCACAAATAAGATATATTTTTGTTAATAGTTATGGTACTTGAATGCATTTTTATGATTTAACTCCTGAGTTTAGTGTCACTTTAACCCTTTCGCTGCCACCGATGTATGGCATACGTCACTGGCATCGGGCCCCTTTAAATAGGCTACCACCGGGACTCTGTTTATATGTGTAAAGCCGACAGTCAGCTTTACACTGGAAGTGATTTTGGTCCCCCAGCTGTCATTCCCCTGGTGGCAGAAACTAGGGAAGAAGCTATTGGAGCACAAACTGCACTCCAATAGCTTCTTTGGAGTGGTAAGATGACACTAGGGGTCTAATAGGCCCCTAGTGTACTAAAAAGTACGTGTTACCTCTAATGTGCGATCACACAATGTGCTTGTAAGCCCCCCTATGTGAGTTTAGTGTCACTTTAACTTACTTCTGTACTTGTCATTGTGGAAGAAAAATCCACTTAAACATGGGAAGAACACATAAAGCCCTACGGAGAGTGTTTATTGAAGTTACAGCTCTGCTAACATTTTTGGAGTGAAGGAGGGTTAAGCTGGCTATACACCTATAGTTTATTTGCAGATTTTCTATGGTCAGATGGAAAAAGTGCAACCGATTCCTCAATCTACGGTAAACTGTGTGGATGGAGGAATCTCCCACTGGGCCAAGCTTCAGTATCTTGCTAGCCGACCCCGCTGGCTGACAAAATACATGAACAATCTGAATGAAGGCAGGCATTGTTCAAGTATTTTGAAAGCCAGCGGGGCAGACTAGCAAGATACTGAAGCTTGGCTCAGTGGTAGATTCCTCCTTCCACACATTTTAGCATAGACCATAGAAAATCTGTAGATAATTTATAGGTGTATGGCCAGCTTTAGAAACCCTGCTGGGTTTTATTGTTAAATATGTTACAGAATATGATGAGCCCTCTATTCCAATCATGAGGGGGAAGCCTTTTATAGATGAGCACATTTTAAATATGCTTTATTTGTTGCAATTATAGTCTATGTGTTTAAGGGATTTTAAGCTTCACTTTATTAATGCTTCAGGTGAGATCTATTTGTGTGAAGTGCAAGGCGCGGTCACTGGTAACATGTTAGTTGTACTGGCCCATTAAGAGAAAAGGATCTGTACTTGTACATAGAGTAGGACCCCAGCAGGGACTATTGTTTCTGAGACAGCATGTGATGAGAAATCTAAAATCTTACCGTTTTCCATGGGACAGGAGCTGGGGAACATTCTTCCAATGAGGATTCTTGTTGCGGGGGCTACTGTCTAAAATACAAATTTCCCTAATTTTAAAGATTTTTTAACTTCCACAACAGAACTCAGACAGCTAACAAAAAAAAAGGTTTGCCTTGTTTGACTTCAGCTATGCGCTAAAGGTCGGGTTGTTAAGATTAGCCAGAAAGTTTTCACCCTTCAAAACAAATATGAAATTTGGGCTGGTTTGGTCAGTAGTTCTGCTTTTGCTCCATTTTTAATAAATTGGCCCCTCTTCTGCATATAATTTTTATGCACAATGAGGAGAAAATTGATATAGCTGCTTGAAATATGATTGTTCAAGGATGTATTACTACAATGATAATCAATTAAATAAATAATATATATTGCCAGCAGATTTCCTTGAATACGTAGCTTCATATAAGACCCATAATCCTATCAAGGAAGGGGAAATCTGTACTTATCTGCTGATTTTTAAAACTGCAGGTCCTGAATGTGACATGGAAGCTTGCAATGGATCATGCTGGGGACCTGGTCCAGAGAACTGCCAGCTACGTAAGTTATTTGTTTAAGTAATACCATTTACGATTACCGGTACCAGAAGTTCCATTAAGGAAGCCTTAATGCTTTTCCATTGTATAGATGATAGGAACAGCTGAATACCCTTTTATATCCATCACTGATTCAGTATATAATATTTATTGATGTTTACTATGGCAGTATATGAACTAACTATACCACATATGGCAGTATATGATCTAACTATACCACACACAGTATACTGAACATTAACTATATATAGATACCCAATTCACAATAATATCAATTTATCCATGACTATGCATTCTGTGGTATTGTGTGGCAATCCCACAGTGGAACTGGGGGTTGTAGTAACCCAGGACTCTCAGCCAGAGAGTCTGAGCAGTTCCAGGAAACAAACTATTTTGCTAGGAAAGAACTGGCTTTGCAGTTCTCTCCAGAAAACCTGGATTTGGTATGGGATCCTGGAACTGGGAGATTTCAAAGAGAACTGGGAGGGATGAAATCTCCATTCCTGGGTCCATGGTTTAGTAGGGACCAGAACCTAATGATTGCACACCTGTGCATAGCCCTTATGGAAAGGGTGATGGCAAGTGTTCTGGGCTCCAGCTGGGAAGAGGAACAGAGGTGTTCAGGAGTCAGGAGGACTCCACCCAGACGTCAGAGGGGAGCCAGGTGGCTGTGTGTGCTGGAGACACCTCGTAGACAGCGAGCCAGTGACACATGAGGGATGTGTTTGAGTGCCCACGAGGGGAGAGGTCAGGAAGGTCGGTGACCCTAGGACCGCTACGACACACTGCTGAGAGAGCAGAGTGAGGGCTCATAAGCGAATCTACTGAGCCATATAAAGGCAACTGTCTTATGTTGCTGCTGATGCAAGATATATTTCTGTTTGCCCTAAATAAACTGCATTTGATTTGACTTACCTGGACTACAGTGGAGTGTCCTTGTTACAATTCCATTACATTAGCTGTGACAGCACAATGCTTCCCTATTGTATAGATGACAGGAACTCCCACTGCAGAATGAAGAATCTGATAGATGCCGACAAAAAATAAACAATTGGGCGGAGCTAGCAGTGACTTTTACTGCTAGCTCCTCCCAACTGTTTACATTTGGCTGGCACCTGCCAGAGTCTTCTTGCAGGTCCCAGACAAATAAAAAACAACTGGGTGAAGCCTGCTTTGACGTCACAGCCACATCCACCCAGTTGTTGTCATTTAATGACAGCCAAGTGTCCTCAAACAACCTGAGGACGCTGGTGTGTCATTGAAGGACAATAACTGGGAGGGGCCAGCCATGACATCACGGCCGACTCCACCCAGTTATTGTAATGTAATGACAGCCCAGTATCCTCGAAGATGTTAGGCTGTCATTCATTGGCAACAACTTGACGGACATCACAGCTCGCTCCGCCCAGTTGTCAGTTGCGGGGAAAACATTCTGCTTCGGCAGACCATTCTGACCACTTTGTCACTAAAGCTGAGCTGAAGCATATGCATTCAGCTGGGCTGTGCCGCTAGGCTGCCTTCAGCTGTTGTACGAGCTATTATGAATAGACCGTACAGCAGTTCTTCGGTTCAACTGAACGATGGGCTCCGGCGGCCGAAATGAGCCGAAGGATCAACCGGCGCTATAACTGTATTCTTCGACTCTTTAGTGAATAACCCTCTTCGTTTTCCTTTTACATCCATCACCAATACACATTGGGATTGGTTCACTAAAGGAGTAGAGTCTGTTTACTTCAATCTTATTGGATCACTTTAATCATATCCAATCAAGAATCATGTTTTTTTATGTACCTCACACTTGAATTGGTATTCAAAGTGAACCCAGGTTCACCTTGTTTACCAAAAAGCACTTTTTAAAAAAAGTAAATGGCTTCTATTCCTTAAAATCAACCCCATTGTTTGGACCATAATACACTGACCATTATAGTTTTTTTTTTAAATATTTGTTATCTACCATTTAATTTCTTCCAGTTACAAAGCTCAACTGTGCTCAAGAGTGTCCTGGACGGTGCAGGGGACCAAAACCCAGTGATTGTTGCCATAGTCAGTGCGCTGCCGGCTGTACAGGACCCAAAGCTTCCGATTGCCTGGTAATTTATACAGCTTATTTTGACAGTGAAGGGTCAACCATCTTAACATGCAGTTTCAAGCATGAAACAATAAGGGTGGATATTTTAGTAGTTTAAACAGGGTAGAAAAAATACATTTGCTCTGTGGCCATTTTTTTTGTATGAACGCAATAGCATCTCGCTTGATAAGGTAAGTATATAACAACAGCACTCTAAACTTGCGATATTTGTATAATTGGCAATTACTTGGTGTTGGCATAGGTTGGCCCAATTGTCGCTGTTCTTTGGCAGCGATACAGAAAATATGAATGCAACTAAAATTGCTCGTAAAGTATTGGTATGCTTTAAAAAGACCATTTTACACTAAGTCCTTGAGCTAAAGCCATCCCAAGTGGAGCTTATTCTCCCTGATTCTGTTTACTTTACAGTGCAGTAGAAAAATTAAGACACATCCTATTGCAAGAGAAGTAGAAGGACTTCATGTTGGAAGATCAGACTTAGGAACTATGTCAAGAGATAAGCCAAGTTCTTGGAGATGACAACTCTCAGGCTTTTTCCAAAACCTTTTCATATCATAAACTTTATATGCTTTGGATGAGCTCTTCATTTGAATGGAAATGTTGTATGGTTCTTTTCTGATAAAGATTACACAAAATATAGTCCATTATGTTTCTCAGTAACAGAGTTCTATGGCCGAAACATGTTTTGGCTTTAGTCCTCTTTTGGGTCACAGGAGTACATTTACTAATGTTCTCCTGTGACCCAAACTCAGCATCTAGTGGGCTACGGTCTCCTATATGCTCACACCATATTGTCGAAATTCACCCTGCTGCCTGATTGACAGCTGACAGCCTTTTTAGAGCCAGAGCCAGCTGTGCCCACCCCCTCCCTATCTGTCCCTCCAATGAGCGCTGGAGGAACAAAGAGTGGAGGAGGAATCCCTGAAGGGAGTTGTGACTGACAGTCACTGCTGTCTGCAGGAAGAAGCCATTAAAGGGGCAATCAGTGATATGTGATTGCTCATTTCTCAAGCTATAGAGCCGGCCTGTGACAGCTGTAGTGTCACATGCCAGCTCATTGGGAAGAGTAGATTTTACTCTCCCAAATGTTCTCATTTAAACTAGCATTTGTTGGCTAAATTAGTGTAAAATGAATCCAAACTCCAGGCAAGCAGCTGAATACACAGATGAAATATACTGTATATAAGGAAGCTGTTTTACCTGCCATGAAGATTTGTATTTTTGTCCAAACTGGTTTGAGAGTTACACAGTTTGCCAAACCATACAGCCCTTTCCGGCAGGAGAGGAGACCTGTTTTTCCTCTGCTGCAGTTCAGTAAAACTTTCAGGTCCCCTTCCTACCCCCACCATGTGACTGGTCAGTGAAAGGAGAAACAGCAGACTGAGGAACTCATCTGTCATTGTGCTCTCCCCTCCTATCAGCATACTCCTCACACTGCAGTACAACTGATTGGCTAATTGTGCTGCTTCCCCTCCCCAGTCTAAGCACTGTTGTGGGGGGACTGTAATATTTCCACGGATTTCAAATTCAGGTACAAACACAGCTTGCATTTCGAAAAATACCTTTAAGAATAGATTCATGAAAAAAAAATTTAGAGAGTTTTTACCCCATGTGTGGCGCTCGGAAAAAAGGAAGGACTACCACGCCAGCAGAGGACCATCCTGCAGCTTCTCACATGAGCCCACATCCGTCGTTGAGAGCCAGCTTTCCTCTTCCTCGCGGTGAGTTACTCAGGTAGTGGCGCTTCCGTTCTCCAATTTTGTTTTTCTTAAGAATAGATTCATGATTGCAGAGCTACATTCATTTGTGTCTTTTATATATGCCTGGAGTACAAATTCAACATTCCCCACCATATTCATCTTCAGCTTGTGCTATTATTATCATTAAATTATCTTACAATCATTTATTTGCTTAAAGGTTTGCCGCAAATTTCGTGATGGTGACACATGCAGGGAGAGCTGTCTTCCACCTTATTTATATAACCCAAACATACACCAAATGGAACCCAATCCTGAAGGAAAGTACAGTTTTGGATACTCCTGCGTTTCTAAATGTCCATGTAAGTAACATGGTAAATTGACCCTCTAACCAGCAAATCAATTTAATGGAATGGTGGATAGGTGGGAGTCGGGTGCACTGTCAGTGTCATGATTCAAACGCACACTCCCCAGCACCCCCCCATCAGAGAGATCCTCCTCATGTACATTCCCCACAGCTGAATCACCCCCATCCCCTTCAATGTCATCCCCACAAAAAAAGATGCCTCAAAAGAAGTCTAACTTACAGACCCATAGCATGGCTGAGAGCCAGAGGATGCACTTCCTCTGGGCTTCTCCCTGTCTGTGTCATATGACACATCAAAGCCGATGAGGAGCCTATGATATCCTTCCTCAGCTCTGAGTTGTAGCATGGCTCACAAGATGAAGTCAGGCATACAGCCAGCAGGCACAGAGAACACACTAATTCTGATAATGGCCCGGCATACTGGATAACTTCATGTATTGCTGGGTCATTTCCGGTCAGTTCTTAGCTATGATGATTATATAAAAACAAATGCTGGATTAAAAAACTTTAGTATTACATATGCTTATTTGTGCTGTGTGCATTGTAGTTTAATATGTAGTTCCTTAATGGAGGAAAATTTGAATAAATTACAAAGCAAACTTTTTCTTTGAGCCTAACCATTCCTCTGCATTACATAAAAATCACACTTGTGTAATATCCTTTTAGCCAGAGGGATTTGTTCAGTGTATTTGCGATCGTGGTTTAAAAACATTTTTATTGGCAGTATTAATAAATGGCAAAAATGAAAAACAGACTGGGAGCAATCCAGTGCAGTATTAACATGGTATGTAGCTGCTTTACATTTTCTTGCCTTATGCATCAGGTCCACAGTATTACATAGTCATGTGCTTATAATTAACCATGCATTTTGCGGATTATCTATACCTATAATTATGCATTTACACATATTGAAATACTCTAAATATTTTTGAAAATATGCATTTATTTCTTTTATTAGACAATACCTTAGCAACAGATCTTGGGTCTTGTGTTAAGACATGCCCATCCGATTCATATGAGGTGGAGGAAAATGGAGCCCGCAGATGTAAAAAGTGTAATGGACCCTGTGCTAAAGGTAATACAGTACATTTACCATACATTTACTAAAAAAAGTAGCAATGCAGGAAAACGGCTAAATACACAGCTAAATGCATATATTTACATTTTTAATGGTCAAAGAATTTGTAGTTCTGCTTTATCAATCTCACCATTAACCCACCTCTGCCACACAGCCAGGAAGGTGACACTCCTATTCCGGGGTCAGTTTGCAATTTTTTGTATGTCACCTTTCCTCTTCTAACTTGCTGAGTGGAAAATTAAATTGCATCACCAGGTCTGTCAAATGTACATGATGGTGAACCAGGATGCAGTAAAGCTGAACTAGGAAGTATTACTGTGATCTTCCAGGCTGTGTAGTGTGGTAGAGGTATGAAAATCACAAAACTGACCTGGCTGACCAGAATAACGAATCTATTGACAGGTAGTTAATTGTGAGCTGGTGATTTAGGGGTCTATTCACAAAGCTGCCGAAGGATATGGCCGTAGCTTCGGCCGATCCTTCGGCTAGCTTCGGCACCAGGACCCCTTCGGTTCAGGAGAACCGAGGGGGTGCTGTACTGCTATTCACAATAGCCCGTACAGCTCCCGATCACGGCCGAGCGGCTCAGTCGAGCGCTGAGACGTGCTGAAAGACGAAAGGAAGCGCTGTTACTGGCAGCATCTCCAGGTACAAAACTTTGTTTTCCGTGCCTTCCACCTATCTGTAAACATAAGCCATTACAAATCCTCGCTGGAATTGCTGTAGTTCCAAATTTAATACACATTTTTATAAAAAATAATTCTGCCTTTATACTCACTGTGAGGTTTACTGAACCCAAGGTCATCCAAACCCGGAAGGAAGCTGTCAGTGCCAGCCCAATCAGCTGTGGCCAGCCCTGCAGCTGCATGTAAACAAAGAGGCTAGATGCCGGTGACATCATTTACCTTATATGACCACATTGCCGTATTAGATCAATGATGTCACCAGCGTCCTGCCCTTTGTTTACATGCAGATGCAGAGTGGGGAATGCCCTGGCTGTAGCTGATTGGGTTAGCACTAGCAGCTTGCTTTTCGGGTTTGCATGAGCTCAGGTTCAGTCTGAATCTGAGCTCATCCCTATTTGCTGCAGTGCCTTGTGGCCTGCAGCATATAAGATTCAGTACAAAACAACAACATAAGAGGCTGGATAAACACATCTGTAATATTAGAAAAGGAGAAATACATGCATATTAAATATTGTAAGGATATATTTGGGTATGCATACATTAATACATTTAAAGCCCAACTGCAGCCATTTCTTTTTTGTTTTTGACAGAGTAAGGAAATGTTGAAATTAATGTCAGGTTTTATTTCTAACTGTGACCCAGTTTGGGAGATTTTCACTCATTGCCCCTGCGATGTTAGTGTAAGAAATGGGTGGTTCTGGCCAGATATTCTAACTCTTCCTTCCTCAAGTAAAAAATGTGTTTTTGTTTTTGTCTGTGTCCCCTTTGCAGAGATTTCCCATCACCTCCCGTGAGGGTAAGCTCCCCAATAGGATCAGAGGCATCAATAAAAACCCCTAACCATTCCCTGCTCTGTCCAAAACAAAATGTTTATTTTGGCTGGGGTTTACAATTACAAATGCTATTTTTACTTTGTGAGGGTAATGTGTACAAAAAAATATATATATTCTGCATTCCCTGCCCCCACTAGATTGTGCTCCCCGAGTTCCTTTAAGGTGGTCCGGGACCACACATTGTTAGGTTATTCCTGTTTCCCTTGCTGTATTTTTCTCATTCTATCTCTTCTCTCATCATCTCTCCTTCTTTTCTTTCCTTTCTTGGGGGTGTGCATGCCGGTTCTGGTCTCCTTTTCTTTATGCATCTCCAACTTTATAGGTTTCAATGGCGATGGTAAATGTTGGCTCTTTGAATGTTAAGGGATTTAATCAGACCAAAAAGCAATCACAGTTGTTGTATTACATGCACAAATGTAAGATTCAGATATTGTTCCTACAGGAGATGCATTTATAATCCTCTGTAGCACCCAAGTTGCCCTCTAGGCACTATCATCTATGGCACACTATTACCAATCCGTAAAAAAAAAAAACAAAGGGCGTGGCAGTGGTGTTTCATTCTCCCCTTCCGGTTACAGTTTCCAAGGTGATGTCGGATCCTGAGGGTCGATATCTTTTTCTACAATGTTCGATATATCAAAAGACCTTTACCTTGGCCAATCTCAACCTCGCTAACAAGGGTCAAAAACATGCGTTCTCAGCTGTTATGGCCAAACTGGAAAATTTTATGGTTGCCTACACTATCGTGGGGGGAGATTTTATTTTCGTTATTGATCCTGCCTTGGACTCATCTTCTGGGAAAACTAATTTTTCGCTGTCTTCTTTGAAAGCTGTTCGTAACGCCTACGCGTCTTGCAATTGGTCAATCTTTAGCGTACGTTAAATCTGATTGCAAAAAATTACACATTCTATTCTGTTCCCCACTCTATATTGACAATTTTTTTACCTCACATTCTTTACTTAGTTGGCAGCCCTGTGCCTCCATTGGTCAGCAAATTTGGTCAGATCATTTTCTGATCTTCCATAGTTTCTCCATACTTGACACATCCAAAAGCTCACCTTCTTGGAGACACAATGAGTGCCTCCTGTGGCATCCTCTTACTTTGGGGGCACTTCAGTCCTCTATTAGGGAATTCTGTGAACATCACGCCTCAGATGAGACCTTGCCCCCTGTTCAGTGGGAGGCACTTAAGTGTGTTCTCCGTGGTATCCTGATCAAACATGCATCACGAATGAAGAAAGCTCATGAGAAGCGAATCTCTGCTCTCTTGACGAATATAGCGGATATTGAATTGAAGCAAAAATCTATGCCTTCTCCAACGTTGTAACAGGAACCATGTTGAGCTTCATTCCATGTTGGACTTGGCTTATTTGCGTCACAGGGATTTGCGCTCATTTAGTTCCGATCAAGTCTGCCTTAATTACGTCCTCTTTCTTCTCCCCTAGAGGACTCTGCCCAAGCTCCAGGGAATTGGGTGGAGTATTTTTAGCTCTGAGACTTCTACTCCATCCTCACTTGCTGTTGTGACTTGCACAGAGGCCTCTACCCCCTTTGAACAACTGTGTCTTAATGCAGTGCCGCCCCGTTGCCCAATATCTACTATATGCAACCTTATGTTGTTGGTTCTGTTTCCAGATGCTCCCCGATATTTAACGCAATGGGCTGAGGAGCTGCTCCTTTTTTGAATCTGACATTTCCAAGTCTTTTATTCTCACCCACAATCTTTCAGTAGCCAGTAGAGACCAGGTACTCTATTTTAAAATTTTGTATCGATGTTATTATTATTTGACTCGCCTACAGGATATCTACACTCAGACATGCGACCTGTGTTGTAGGTGCTCATCCCAGGCTGGCTCCATGCTACACGTTTGGTGGAGTTGCACTAGAGTTTCTACCTTCTGGTCATCAATCTTTACTACCTAAGAAAAGCTCATTGGTATTAGCATAGAGTGTTCCCCACAATTAGCCCTTCTTTCCATGTTAACGAGGTCCCTTAAGTCTACCAGAAAAGGTTTACTACGATTTTTCATAATGGCCGCCAGAGCTGTCATACTGAGACATTGGAAATTCTCCATATGTCCCACTCTGAAAAAATGGGTTGATGAAATGCAATTCCTTTGTAGAATGGAAGAACTTACTGCCAGTCTATACGATCGCCATTCCCAGTTTTATGAGGCATGGAGCGTGTGGCTTCGTTTTTGTACTACGGAAGACTTACTCAATATCTACCTGACACAGTTCCTTATTCCTGGGTCTAATTCAGGTAACCATGCTACTTTTCTTCTTTTCTCCCATGTGCTCTTCTCACTCTACTTTTTCTTATTACCCTATATGTGCTCTTTTTCCCCATTTCTTTTCCCTTATTCTCTTTCCATCTATTACACTTTTTTACTTTTCTCCTGTATTTTTTCTATTCTTTGTATCATGCATTTTGACTTGTTAGGCACTTCCCTTCATTTTGATAACTTTTTTTCTACCCAAGGCCCCTGACCTCCATACTTTGGTACACTTCATGTGTTGTACAAAACATTCATGGAGGGTGGTTTCCTGTAATGCTTCTTCTAGGTTCACCTACTGGCGATTCATGGATATTGACTTTGTTATATGATGTTTTTAAGTACTGAGCCTAAATGTTGCCTGCTTGTACCTGTTTTTGTACTTTTTTTGTTTTTACTATTTCTGTTTATATTTACTATTTTCAATACAAATATAATCTTTAAAAAAAAATAATATTCTAGCCCCACCAGCCAGCCAATTCTTATCAACTGTTTAGCATTAAATCCTTTTTTCCAGATGTAATATGTGATGGAATTGGACATGGAAAACTACAGTCCTCAATGTCTATAGATGCTACAAATATTGATGATTTTGAAAACTGCACTATTGTACAAGGAGACATATTAATCCTAAATTTTGCAAAAACCGGGTACGTCCAGACATTTTTACTTTGTCAGTTACAAATAGGGATGCACTGATACCGTTTTTTTATGTATCGAGTACGAGTAGCGAAATTTTTTTGTCGATACCTGGTGACGAGGGAGCATGGAGCCGGCTTCCTGGCCAATCAAGAAGTTGGGCAGTGAGTTGTTACCTGCCCCCCAGCTTCCTGATTGGCTGGGAAACTGGCTTGCTAATCCCTGGTGATGAGGGAGGATGGAACCAGCTTCCTGGCCAATCAGGAAGGTGAGTGGCGTGTAATGACTCGCCGCCTGGCTTCCTAATTGGCCGGGAAGCCTTATAAATGCTCCCTCGCGGCACTGCCATTAGAGGGAATATCCCTCTGACCTGAAGTTCCGGTATGGGGGGTATCAGAGCATTTGGGCGAGTACGAGTACTCACCCAAATACTCGGAAGCAACATCGATACTATTATCGGTATCGGTGCATCCCAAGTTACAAAAATGTTGGGCACTAAGAACTAAAAAAAACATATTTTTCCTACTTCTATACAACCACTTTGTATGACAGTAAAGTTAGGCCTTAAGCAAAATAAGCAAAGCAATGGGCATAGGGATTACATGACTGGGTTTTAAAAGGGACAAGAGGCAAAATGGGTTAAAGAAAAGAGGTTGTTGGGTGTGGTACATACAGGACCGGAGGGGTGGAGACAAACAGGAGGGGCTTCAGGGGTGGATCAGAGTATAGGATCTAGCATCAGGCAGTCCGCAAGAGCGTGTGGTCAGGGGAACTTCCCACACACCCACCCAATAGTCGTTCTCTTTGCTTGGTGATGTAGGGGTTTTTATGTGTTGTTCATGAGGGTATTCTTGTAGCAGCGGGTGGGTTTTTAAGGTCCTTGAAGGTGGTAATTTGGGTAAAATGTCAAGTGGGTTGGGCTGGTCTGTTTTACTAGTTTACTAGTCTGTTTTACTAGTTTGAATATTCAGTATAGTGGAGGTATCTACAATTAATGGTAGAATTGTTTTTGAACTGGAATTTCTGTGGCTAGATTTAAAGTGCCTTGAAGGACCTTGGGCCCTATTTGACTGTGGTTGTTGGTTATACTGTATGTTTTATTTAGATTTTCTTAATAAAAGGCTGCAATAGATATATAAACTCCAGACGGTGTCTGGTGTTGTTATTCAAATGGGGGTTATGTGAGAGGGGATAGCTATTGGCAGTTGTTTTGGTTATGGATAAGTCCTCTTTAATACCCTAGTCATGTCAAATTCATATTCCTGTAGAGAAAATGCACTGATCATATAGAAGTTACTTGTGAAAACACTGTGTAGGTTGACCATAATTTGACTCGGTTTTATGTGGATGCTGGTAGGATCAATATACTATTGGCTTACTGGCCTACTGTGCCTTTGCACTTTCACCATGGCCAGACTCCACTTCATGCAAACAAGGTGGTTTTCCTGCAAATGGATTTTCCACAAAAACTCACAATAAAGCAAGAACTAAAACAGAATATGTAAAGCAAATATGTTGCGCTCGGTCTAAGTGAACCAACTGCACACTAAAGTGTTAATAAACAAATCTGTGTAAAAATTACAACAATCCGTGTGAAAAAATTGATTCAAGTGGATTATTTACATATGACTAGAAGGTTCAACACACAAACATAATAAGAATAATAAAAATCAACACTGGAACCTTCAGAATTAGTGCCAGTGATCAACCTCATTGGTTCAGCATGTATATTTTAAACACGTGAACCTCTGGCCAGCGGTGTAGTAAAACAACACAGAAAACTAAAATTTAAATCGTGATATTAATTCAAGCTGTGAACAAACTTTGAAAAGGAAGGAGGGGCTCTGTGGTGGCCCTCCAATACTCAAAAAAAAAAAATGTGCAAATAAATCAAAAACGTGCAAATAAATCAAAACTCTAAAATAATAACAGCAAAGAAACTGACATTTCAAGGGGCATGTATCATTACATGCATAACCAACGAACAGCACTTTAAGAAAGGGCAACTTCCTTCTCTCAGTGACACTTGATCAATCTGTCCGGCAGTCCTCCAAACATTCAATGACAATTCCCCAAGAGGGGCTCCTTGTTAAAGAGGTCTT